AAACTAGGGCGTCTCTCAAATGCAGTCGAGCCGAATTCTAGTAGCTGTCTTTGTAATTGCTCTTCGAACACAGAAAGCATCTGATTGAGCATCGAATTTAAACTTTTCTTCACATTTGCTCTGTTACGAGAGGCGTTGCCAACAGTAACCAAGTTCATGTATTCGAGTATAAAAATTTTCGAATTTTTGGTAAACTTATTGGTATGTCAATAATTACTGATATTCGAATTAGGCCAGAAATAAACTTACGATTTTCGGTGTAAGGACTGGGTGCAGCATAATCCGAATACATGCCACCAGGTGTCATTGGAGTATACGGCTGGCCTGTAATCATGCACGTGTAACGAATTCCATAGGTATGCTTCAGAAGTGCTACCAGTATGATTTCAACATTGGAATGATGAGGAAAGGCACTACTTACCAGTGGATGATTCTGGATTGTAGCGAGGTGTATGAGCTGAACCAGACGGTACACTGAACGAATCAACACTGGGCATTTCATCGTTTATCGTATACGCTGGTGTCGTTGATGGATCCCAGGCTGATGGTGTGCGTGCACCATCGTATGAGGGTGTCATTGCACCATAATGAGGTGTGCGCGCTAAAATATGTGCATAAGCGTAAAAGTATGCCACTGCTTTTTTTTGCAATATATGCATTTTGAAGAGAAGCTGCACATAAAATTGAACAGACGATGGGTACTAACTGGATGTATGCAAACCAGGATCTGAAAGCTGCTAATAGCAGCATCTGGTATACGAGGACATTTTAAATAATATCACTAAACTCGGTACATTCCCAATTTTTGCCGTTTATGGAGGCTGCTTAGGGGGCCGGGATATACTGCATTACAGATAAGAAAAGATCTACTGGATATCGAGCCACATCCAGTACTCAGAACCCTATTAAAGTTTACTCAACGCGCTCCCATAAAATGCCAATTACTAATCTAGGCTAAACAACTGAAAGATAATACGAGTGGCCGAAAGTTTGCAGCAAATTTAACTTTCCTCTCCGAAAAGATGAAGCAAAACAGCATAAGAAAAAGGGTGCCAGAACCACCAGAACGACAGGCATTCCGTAATATAAGGCTTTCGGTCAAAATAACGACGAAAAGCTTTCGGAAAAATTAAACTAAAAAAAGAAAACTGTCTGATACGTACTGACCTCCATCATGCATCGGTGTCTGTGAGCCATACATTGGTGTCTGAGAGCCATACATCGGTGTTTTACCACCACCAGTGTACATCGGTGTACGACTGTCACCAGACGGTGTCCTACCCAGTAAACCACCAAGCGCTTCACCACCAGGCATTGCATCACCAACGATCATTATTCGCGAACGATCAACACTAATTGTCTAAATTTCACAAGTATTAAGAGTATTTTACAAAATCCTAACTTATTCGACCGGAAGCATCGTGCTCACCTCTACAATATTATTGTGGTGTCCACTGGAGAACACAGAAGAGCTAACGCTGACTGGGATCGAGACAGCAAACGAGCGGAAAATACTTCGAATATAATTCTCATGACCACAAAAACAATCAAAAGGCTGCTCCAAAAACTCTACGCTAGATGTGTGGAATGTAGGATATCACCGCGGTTACGTTAAGAATGTAAAATTTAATTTGTGGGGCACTAACTGCCTCAATAACAAAGGCCAAACATCCCGTATTTACTAGTAAACGACTGTTTTGGCTAGTTTCGACATGATGGCGAAACACACATTGAACAGGTGGTGGCTACTAACTGTAGATATGCAGCTTAGGATCGAAGAGCCAGGCCTAGCTGTGTCCCATATACCAAAGCATCAAACATCACAACAAACACTGGGTCCCCCACTGACTGCCTCGGCATTTTGACATTGTTAGTGCTTAAATAAGTGAAACAAATCAAACAGCCTTATAAGTTTGTTCGTTCTTAGCACGCAATTCTGGGACGAGGTAGTCTCGCGTAAGAACAGTAACCTTGCAACTGGAATGAAGTTCAACACGAGCGGTTTGTTCAGTAGCATCTTTCACAATGCCAAAATATCCCTTCAGTGGTCCCTGAGTGATACGTACACTTTTTCCGATTATTTGATTATCACGTCGAACACGATTCTGCACATCAAAGGCACCCGTGCTTGGTACACCTATGGAGCTGCCTTCTGCAACAAATAAAACTTTATTTTTAAATTGCCTTATTTTAAACTGTTCTTATTTTTTTTTAGACCGTTCTCGAACTTCACTCCACCTAATTCCAGTTATCGTACATTCTCAGTTTAAGAGGGGCACTACCCGCCATGTTCAAAACCGTCATTGTTTTTTTTTCTCGAACGCTTGGAACTGGGGAACCAAACTTTAACCTTACTTTAAATAAAGTTAAAATTTGGCCCCTCACTTCCAAGCATTCGAACAAAAAACAACTAATGACGGTTTTGAACGTGGCATGTGCAGAAATTGATTCTTTATCGAAATAAATAATTGGTCAGATCGTCGATTCTCAGTTCAAGAGTAGCACTTCTCACCAAACCAAGGAACTGTTTACATAAGAATACATGCAAACAAATGAATTCTATGAAGCCCAAGCAATTTTAGCTCCGACTGCTCCGAAATCTTTGGAAGCGACTTTTATGTTTTTTTTTTTTTCTAATTTTCGCATTAGCGGCTAAATTCTGCATTTCCAGGCTCGATTTTTCGCAAATTTCTTTTCAGGCAAAAAACAGTACCAACAACTATTTTCAAGCATAGTTCAAAACTAGCTAATAACTATTCGTTGAATAAAGTTTACTGAATGACTGAATATTAAATAAACAAATTTAATAAATAAATAAGTAAAGTTAATAAAAGAAAAATTTAACAAATAATTAAATTTTTATCACACTTCACCAAAATTTGACAAATAACTGCCCAAAAAATAACAGAACATTTAATACCAAGTAGTTGCCACACCCTCGAAATTAGAAATTTCATCTCACCCCTCCCCTCCCTCTTCCTTCTCCCAGCTTCTTGGGTGAATTAGAAAAAAAAAAAAGTTCACAAGATTTTAATACATGAACAACATGAAACTGTTACACCGTTGACTTACCATGTTGCGAAGGTGTTGCGCCACCCCGGACGCTTCTTCCGCTTGACATATTGCCAGGACGAGGAGTCTGTCCACCCAATTCAACATGACGGGGACTCGAAAATGGATCGGGCGTTGCCATTCCTTTCACAGTAAAATCACCAACTGTAAAAACAAGAAAAAAAAATCACTAAAAACAAGAAAAATGGTAAAAAAATTTTATATATTAAGGATACTCCTGGCCAAAGAAATATCTCTTTGTGATCTGGAAGAAATAACATTCGACAGGAGGTGGTGGCACTCAACACACATCAAGGGCATTTCGAAACGGTAAGTTTTGCCACTTGTTTGTATCGGGAGAATCGCTGAGTTGGTAATCCATTTAGGAAGATAATTCGCCAACGCACGGGCTGCCCGTGCGAAGATGCGTTTTTTGCTTGGTTCTCCGCAGTTTTTGTTGCTACCGGCACCGGTTTTTTCGGCAAATGCTTCTAGCTAAACAAA